GGGGAACGCGCCCCGGCGCCACCGGAGGTAAGAGGGTCCTCAGAGCCGGGCCCCCATGCGTGGCCGGACGACCCGGCGTGGGGCGTCGAGGGGCCGGGCGTGGGGTTGAAGCTTAGAAGCGGCGGGTCATGCAGCGGTAGCGACAACGGGGTTTCCTCCTCCTCCACCTTCTCCACGTCTCGGGGGGCAGGGGCGCCAGCAGCGCCTCATGCCGCGAAGGGCTGCTGAGGAGGCTCCGCCCGAATCCCGGCCAGACCCTCGGACGCCCGGCCCGGCCCGCACTTTAAAGCGCTCCTCACGACGTCACGGGCTCCCCGCCAGCGCCGCTCCTTAGCGGGCTCCTAGGCGCGCACGCGCAGTGCTGCCGGCCACCGCGGCTCCGCTTCTTACGAGCATGCGCGCGCGTGCGAGCCGGGTCGGCAGAAGAGCCGGCGCAAGCGCAGATGAGGCTGCTCGTCGTCTGCCGCCCCTCCCCCACTCGCTGAAGGGCTTCAAGGGAGCACTCAAACGGCAACCTGCGTCCACGCCGCGCCGCCCCAAGATCAAAGGGCTCCCTCTGCAGGGAAGCGCTCACGCTGTCAACGCTACCGCTATGCCGCGTCACGGCATCGTCCGAACGCCAGGAGACGCGTCAGCCTCCAGCGCGCAATCACCGGGGAACCGCCACAACCTAGGCCACCTCCTTACCGCCCCCTTTGGCACTTCCACTTCTTTAATTGGACCGCCGGCCACCCTCTGGGCGGGTCCAGACTGGCACTCCCGGAAGCCGGTTGGTAATCATGCCTGTCAATCAGGGAGTCTCCTTGGCTACTGCGTCCGTCACTTAATTAGCAGCGGGGAGGGTGGCAAGGACCCCTGGAGGGTGAATGGGTGGCTAAGTAAGTGCCTGAATGGCACCCAACGGAGGAAAGAGCTCAGGACCGTTTAAGAAAACTTATGAAACCAGCGAAACTTTTCAAACTGTGGCACCGAGAGCCCACCTCCAGGGCTGAATCTAGATGGCGACGGCCGCAGAAGCTGGACGCGCGCTGTTGGGGCATCCCAGGGCACCCCCACCCCCC